GTCTTCACATAAAAATTATCCATTAATTCCTTACTATTCATGGCGCTGTCGCCTTTTTTGCAATGATTTTTCTTTCATATAAGTTTCAATTTTGTATTACAAAGAAATCAAACAAACTTGTATTACAGAATAATCAAGGTCTTGGTCGCGGAATTGTTTAATTTTTGTGATATCTATTTATGTGAAGACGTTGATTATACAGTGTTCACTAATATTATTTGATCTAATTGAATTTCAAGCGCCACGTTTATCTTCTTAATACAGACCATGAAGGTGATAGTGATGTTTATGATGATCTTCAATTACTTTTTGATTCGATTTTGAAAAATTGGAAGAATTCAGAATTTGAAAAAGCATGGCACCAATACGGGGCTGGCGTTAAAAGTGTATTTTAAAGTCGGGTGCCAAGTAACCCCAGTGGGTGAGTTGGAGAGCCAGAGTTTTGGCAAATAAGAAAAAAACGAAAATTCTATGTTATAACAACTAGATAGAAAACTCAGTAATGTTATTAAATCACTTCTTTCCGACTGCAGAGTAACCCCTTCCTTGTCTTTTTTTCGGCGGAATTTCTGACAGAGCTTGCGGCTGACAGTATTGTAGTGGCAAACCTTTTCTTAACTGTGGATTATTTTGATTTTTTCGCCTTCTTTTTTTATTTTTTCGTTTGGTTTATAGTGGATTAATTTGTAGACCTATGCTCCCACATCGTCTCGGCTCAGCTCTTCATTGTCGCCAAATCGCCAATGGTCAGCTACTAGTGCGTACGATAGAACGTACACTGCCGACAGGACTCTTTCTCCAAGTGATCCATCCAGGTACGCAATAAGGCTTAATTTTGACTGTTTTTCTTTTCTTTTTTCTTTTAATATGAATTTACCCTGATTTGTTACAGAGCGAAGCACTTTGTGGACACAACGGTTCGCCATCGTTCGCCGTCACCACCACCGCCGCAAAAGACGTTGGTTTTGATTTTGTTTGATCTGTTTGAAATTCAAATATTTAATTTTTTAAGAACCTACGAACACACTGTTTATAATGGGCGCACACCTTCTCCATCAGGTGTACGGTAAGTGATTCATGCACCAATGTGGTACCTGAAAATAAATTGAATACTGTTTTAGGTCAAGAGAATTCGCCGAGCGCCAGTTTGAGACGCCGTCCCCAACTCGTTATGAGCGTAAATATCCCATGCCATACACCTCTACGACCACCACAACAAGTACCAGCGGAGTTCGACAAGTAGAAAAAACTTTCAGGTACAGCCGCGAATGCTCAAGATTGTTTCGGAGCTAAATGGGCTGAATCATTGTTCAAACCGGAATTCTAAGAAATTATTTATTTTAGGTCAACCTCCCCAATCAGTCGAGATGAAATTCGATCACGTACCAGCGATCGAGTTGTGTCACCGTTCAGGTGAGCACATTTACAAGGTTGACGCCCCGTCGAGACTTGGAAGTTATACTGTACATTCTTGCATACCACCAAGATCATCGCCCTAAGGAGTTATGGATTCGCTCCTTCGAAACTTTCGAAATGTGGCATAATAACTGAAAAATCCTTTGAGGTCCCAAAGGCTGTTGGCACGATAAACTCTTAAGAGGGGTAGGATGAACACGCCTAGCAGGACGGATTTCCGAGCCTCTGAGCAGACGCTGCGTAGTGCCTTTTCCAAGGGACGGAAAACTCGTCCGAAATTGCTTTTTGAACCATTAAGAACGAAGGCTTTTCTTCGCAGGTTTTTGACCGTTTCACTTCGCTTTTTCGCCATTTCCCACTATTAGCACCCTGCTACCATTTTAGACAGAGTTCAAATTATCTTGCCAACTGCCTTTATCTGCTCATCTCTTTGACGGCCCTTTCCGCTCTCTATTCGCGCCTATACTTGGGAAACTTGAGCAAGCATCGGCTTCTCCGCTAAGGGCGGGGATTTTTGGCGCATCGCCCAGCTATGCATTAGTTACAGTCTCGCTCCGTTCCCGTTCTCGGCGCCCTCGTCGGGTGTAAAAATTACCGCTTTTATCTCGAAGATCGGGAGGGCGTGGCTATGCACTCCATTAAAACAAGGCACTTCTGATGGGATATTTTCGTTTTGCGCAGTTGTTATTGTCTTTGAGCAGCACAAGACAGGATGATAGTTGTCTTGAATGGAAATGTTTCATGAAAAATTGTAGCATACACATGACGTTTGAGTGGAGGTGCGTAGCCACGCCTTCCATATCTTCGGGATATGGGGTTATCTGAAAGATAACATATTCCGGAACGCCGTTGTGCGAGTATATCC